AGGCTACAGAGCAAAGCGGAGGCTGCCAAAATGGCGAAGATGACCCACGGCTGGCGCGAACATTGAAGAGCGTGCGCATGTAAAGGAAGAAGTAGACGTTGGCATGAATATCATATATTGTCCTGTTTCGTACAAGAGGAACCGTGTGTAGTGCGTGTCATTACGGGCTATTGAGCATACAAGCTCCCTGGTGTTGTTAGAGAGACAATCGTAACAAGCTTGTTAGGTGGGCTAAAGAAATCTAATGATGCGCTAATGTCAAGCACAAGGAAGAATTCGCCCAGTTCCTCCTCACTACGTCAGTTAGGAACAGGGCGATTTCTTCCACCGCGTTTATCGCGACGTGCCGAAGATGGGTGGCTGGAGCCGAAGTATGCTGCCTTAGCAGCCTTGCAAGGTATTACCATGTAGCAGGTTTTGAGCGTGCTCTACGCTCGCCACGACCAATAGAAGTTTGCCATTTCGGCATATGGTGGATACATTGAGCATGTTTTGTTCACTTTCGTAGATGTTCTGTGCACAATGTACCCAGCGCTTGACCGCAAGATGCGAAAGGGCTTCCAACAGCAAATCTTTGACAGGTTTTGAAGTATACTTTAATCAAGTCTAATGCTTATTCTGTAGGATACAAAATAAGGTCTGGGGCTAGAAGGGTTAATATGTAGTGTGACTGTCTGATACTCTGCGTGACTGCTAAAACTTCTTGAATCAAAAATGTAATCGCGCAGTAGTTTCCTGCGTTGCGTGACGCAAATTGACGCAACTTGCATCAATTCACAGGTCCAAGAGCTGTTCACAGGTCGAAATTTTGTGTAACTTACACAAACCATGTACCTTTCTTTCCGAAAGAGGGTACTTTATCACTTAAATAAGTACATATAAACCACTAATTGTTACATGTATTACTTTGTAGCTCATGGGTTCTTGCTAAATTTAGCACTAAAATCAAGGAAGGCAGTTATGGCCACAGTATGAATAGTAGTTTTGGTATGAACTCGTACTTTTTTGTATGATTCACTTTATACTTCTCCCAGATCATAGAAAAATGTAATTTTGGAACTGGCATGTCCTGATTGATCAAATAACACTAAATAACCCTCAAATGTTGTTTCAGCATGAAGAAGTTGCTTCCGATGATGGTCCATACATATTCCCAAGACAGAGAATCGACTTCCTCGGACTGAAACAACGTCCGAAAATCATCACATATATTTCCATAGAAAATTCTGATAGTGCCTACGAGGGGCTACTATTGAGGTGTTATACTGGGATAGGAAGCGACGAAGTGCTGATAGCCCAGCCCACACAGGATTAATTCGGGCGCTGCCCGCTGTCCCCCGTAGGTACAAACTGGTGATGAACCGGTAGTTTTAAGATTGATGTTGACCGACGAGAATGATGGCTGACGAGAAAGATGGAGGCTGCCTACCGATCTCACGAGGTCCGTTTTTCATTTGAGAATCGCCCGCAATAGCCGGGCGATTTGTAACGAGCCCAATCGTGGTAAGGCTTGCTTTTCAATTAGGGGCTCCGTGTACTGCTCAATCGACGAGTAAGCAAACCTGACGAAGTGGCTTTCATGGTTCTAACCGATGTTACCATGTACCTATCTCAGCCTTCTCGAAGCCCTAGTTTCAGTCAGAGTAAGCTCTACTTTCCCAACGTTGCGACTCGCGACTCGTGATGCGACGCCGTGATGGTCAAAAGATCAGACCAATTATTTGCAAAAGATTTGCCCAAATAATCGCTACATCTTGTATTTACTTTGAAACCCCCTAATACGTACCGTAATCCTTATGTGAAGACACCATCCCAATGACTCAGAATAAAAGTGACCTGCAAAACATAAATTGTGTTTTGACTTGTGATTTGTATGCTGTCAGTAAGGACTTAAACTACAACGGTACAATATTTGAAAGTTCATGCTTGGCTCATAGAGTTATCGGTATTGACTGAACGTCAGTAACCAGTGCTTATTGTATTATGTGAAGTTTATTATGGAGCCCTGCCTACCAGAGTGCTAAGTATTGACTGTGAGGGATGCGGCATTAGTGCTTCGAAATATTGAGTCGCGTGCATCTCTCCTTCCAGTGAGAAATCTATAAGTCGTGTCCGGTGCTTGTTCTTTTTGCGCTTGAGAATGCTGAAGTCAGCTTCGACTATATGCGTTCCAGGTGGGATACTCGCTAGTCCCAGTGCGAACACCTTGAGAGATTCGAATCTGTTGGCGAGAATAGGATCACTCCACGCCTTGCTGATGTGGAGGCTTGACAACCTGTCTATCGTGGTTTGAGCTCTGCGAGCATACTCTCGCTGAAGATCGTTGCGTTCTGACCATATCATGCTAATAGCATCACCTCCGTACGTGCTCGACAGGCGCGATTGATGATAATTCAGGATGGCCAAAAACTCTCCGTCCGTTGAATCAATAATCTCTTTCGGAGTTGACATAGTGATAACCTAGGGATCGATTGCCATGCGAATTTCACTTACTCGGTGAAGGAAATGACTAGCCGCTTCGCACACGGCTAGAGCCAATTGCTGCTGTTCGCCGACCGCAAGGCTTGCGTATAGTGCTGGGGCAAAAGGTGACGCCTTAAATATTTGAGCTTCGGCCTTGACGGCCGTACGTGATACAGAATCTGCACACAGCGTCCAACACTCGACCTACAGACGTCCTGCTGCCGGGTTTCGGACCCAGCTCCAGCGCATACTTCGGTAGTCTTGTCTTGCGTGCCGTCGAGTCTTGAAGGGCGTCATTGACAGAGCGAAGCTGTTGACTTGGGCGAGACGTGGTCATCGCGACCTCTCCGCGACTCTGCAAATGATCTCACAGGCTCTCCTGCAGAATAGAGCTTGCGCTGGTTTCAAAACTACTGAGCTTTGGTTTCACTGGTCTTGTACAGTATCTTATTTTTAGCATGGCTAGTTATGTATCCATCGTCATATGGTAGGCATTTCCGGAAAGCGGAGGCAGTGCGTCTGGTCTACACACATAATGCCTACGTTGACGAAGCCTGTTACCGACTTCCTTTGTTTGTTACTGACGCCTCCATATATCTGACAAATAATTTAAGCCAATCAAATAACAGTATCAAGCTCCTCTAAATATTGCTGACAGCGCCACAGGCTGTGACCCACAGCATTGCGTTTTGTTGAGTTGGTATCATGTCACGCAGGCGCGCAACAATCTCGGCTGACGAGAAACTAAAATGCTATCGATCTGGGTGGAACGTGTTGGGTTTTATTGCTGCTACTAGTGCATGTAATAGTAGAGCACCGCCGTAAAATGCCGATAAGTTTAGCTTACCAGTATGCTACTGGGCGGTAGTTCCCCAGTTCGGCTCGCCTGAGGGTTTACTGCACTATTCACCGTGCTTTGAGTATGTAGGTAGTGTAGGTCCTGTTGGGGACCCGCGACACACGGGACTGAATTCAGTTGCGTACAACTAGCACTGACATTGTGCCAGTGGGCCAATGTCTGCAATGCATGCAACGGGTTTACTGTAGGGCTAACCTCGATTATATGGCTGACAGCGAATCTAGGGAGGGAGGTTGCCTAGTGATGGAGACTTTGATGCATGTACCTCCAAGAACGGCGGCGCCATTCTCTACGCATGCACACAAGCACTATATTTTAATGTACTTTCTATGCTACTTAGTAGCCACAACATTGCTGTCAGCAATAAACAAAGTATCGGTAAGCACATAAGGATTACAGTAAGTACATTTGAAGCAATATGATTGGTCGAGAAAAATACTCCAAACATACTTTCTAACCGTGACAATCCTATTTTATTGGGACCCAATACAAATCGCTGTACCCAATAATTGGGTACAGCAAATGACTTGATAATTGTAAGAAACATGGATAGCCAATCAAATGACCGATAGAGAACCGTTTACAAACCACAATTCAATGCCTAGATAGGCGACCCGGAGCGAACGCTCCGGGAGTGTACACAGGTCGAAAGATCGAACTAGTTAGGATGACAAAAGTAAATGAAACTAATGCATTAAACTACTAGCAAGTTATAGCAGTAGGAGCGCCTATGCAGTAATATTTCCGTTACTCTATACGCTGAAGCTTTCTCCAAAACAGCGTTTATCCTGATCTTACATTTGATAGCGGTAGTCAGAGTTGGATGCAAGAGCTGGTTGTGTGGTGGAGTCGCTCAGATAAAAACTAATATACTCCCACACGTGTCCTGCCACGCAATGACGGGGGGGGGGTTACCCCTGCAAACCAAATACCCAAAGACAACGAGAACTAGTCCCGAGATCACTAGGCCTCACCTTGTGTACCCTTGTAGCAAGACTCGGATCTTTATCTAGCGTAATTCCTACAAGAAGTGTAATATGAAAGGGGCGAATATGGGGTTCCTTACACTCGCAGGCAGAGACTTAAGTTAACTCTGTCGCGGGTGCCCTTGTACAGCGAGGTAACTCTTCCCATTGTACGACAACTTGTTGTACAATATGTACAAGATCTACTGGAGATCTCCTACCGCAGCTAGTCTGCGGGTCCAAACCAAAGTGCGAGACGCACGCCAATACCTTACTAAACCGTTTAGAGTGTCGTACTGTCGAACACTGATAGCTGATCTCTTGAGTCCAGAAAATGTAACACACTACGCGACTAGAAGGTTACCGGGGAGGCCAAATCAATCCAGAACCCCGAGTACACTTCGCAAGTAGGTAGGAAACAGTCACAGTACACACGTAGGCGCTAACCGCACAACACAAAGACTAATATGAAGAAGTACCTTGTCTTGTTGTTGGAAAGTCTGAACTAAACTGCCTATCTGCCGTCGACTCGTCTGCCGGCCAACCAACCAACCAACCAACCAGTATGCCGCACGCATTTACCTTATGACGTAATCTGCTATCTCCTTGCGGCGTCATCGTCCTTGTTACGGGCCTCCCCGTTCCGTAAATACCCGCAGGCTTCTGATACGCGACGTCGACCATATGTGAAGGCCATCCAGCCGGCCTCTGTGATGCAGAGTCGCACCGAAGGTTGCGCGCATTAGTTCTCTCAGCAGCTGCGCCGCCAGTGGTCCGAGGGCTAACGCGACCGGGAAAGAAGGCTCCGATCTTTTGGGACTCGGAAGGCGTGGACGGAGGTAAGTCCTCGCTTCGGGTGGTGCTCGATTGGATGACGAATCCAGACAACTAGCGGGGCAGCGACAGAAACAACGGCAACACGAAGAAGGCTCTGCTGAAACAGATGGCCGCGGGGATCAAGATCGTGATAGCGCCGGCGTCCATGGGAAGATGATAGTGGCTGCTTGCACCGGGCCAGCCTGTATTCTTTTTTATGAATAAGTGATCTTGAGATGCGCTTGGAGCTACAGCTGATGATTTGACGTTCAACACTCCAAAATCGGTGAAGGAGCTTCTTCATTTGCGAAAAGGACGAGAAGGAGGCAAGCGGACGTCGGCAGGTGCGAGGCCGTCGAAATGCAAGCCCTTGCTAGGTAGGAGAGGGTGTGCGTGTGTGCTAAGATCATGGTATCGTTTGCGTGTTAGCTAGGGGGGGAGTTGTGCGCACAGGGCCAACACAAGCACGCGGTATTTGCGGAGGGGGGCCCTGCACCGAGCTTTCCGGCGCCTCGTGCAGTACTCGGCTCGCTAGACTGCTTGGCGCGGGGGCGTCCAGCCAAGCGCAGCCCGGCAGGCAACATGTAGTGGTAACAAGTAGTTGGCACTAAACATTAAAGTAGATCCAGCGTGTGTTGCTTAGCGCCTCGAAGCACTTTTGTCAGTACTGTAGCTACTTCAGACTACACGCAATGGTACAGTAGCATACAGAATACAGCATTTAGTGCAGCTCAGCCGCTTGCTCTCGAACCGAAGTGATATGTAGTGTTACTGTGAGGACACTTAGACCCAAGGACTTGGCGATCAAGTCCTCCAACTCGGTGGCCAAATTGACCAGACTTGGCCACTTAGCCCATCCTCGTGCTGGTGTTCGCTCGGTTGGTTGGTTGCTGGCAGCAACTTGCTGTCAACTTGGTTGGAACGTCCAACCAACATACGGAAATGTTCTCGACAAAAAACAGAGTGTCAGCCTATTCTTTTACCGTGCACCGGGCCAGTCGGTGTGGCCCGGTGCACCACGCTGCACCGACTGGAGCTGACCCGGTGCAAGTATCCTCTGTCGTGAGAAGATCAACACTCTCGAGAAGCAGTACCGCGAAGCGCAGGATTTCTTGGCTGCTACGGGGGCTGGAATCACGGACGAGAAGGACCTTCGAGCTATCGTGCAAAAGCGCTGCCCCTATTACTACGAGCTTCATGACGTGATGATCAACCGGCCATCAAGCCGACCGAAGATCACCTCAGATGACCTTGATGCAGAGGCGACAGCAGAACATGGGGAAGGAGGCGCTATCGTGCAACAGGGTGTTAGCCGTCCGCTCCCACTTCGGTCATCGCAAGCAGGCAACAAAGGGAACACTGAATCCGTTGAGAGATTGCTGAACCAGCAGGCAGAGGTGCTATGCGCTCGCGGAGAACAGCGGGAGATGATGATGGTATACCAAAAGCACAACTACAACCTGAAGGAGAAAGAGTTTAAGCTCAAGGAAGAGAAGAATGCTCGTCAAAACGCGCAAGCTGATATTGAGTTAATGCTGAAAAAGGTGGAGCTGAATCTGCAAAACGCGAAGCGGTCGTTCAGTTGCTGCTGTCGCGTAAAAAAATACAAGATGATGACGTTGAGCTGGACGACATCGTCCGACTCCTGCCCCTACCGCCACAGGAGTGAATATCCTAGTCCAGCCAATAGCTTCTGCTTTAGCAGAATGGTTAAAAGTTTTTATCAAACACGTAGTCGCGGAGATACTCCCTTCGATCTTCGTTAGATGTGTCAGGTAAATCTTCCGCATTTTCTTCAGCATCATTGTTTTCGTTGTCAACCCAAGTGTCGGGGATCGGTTAATGGATTGGCATGTTGTGCAGGATGATTGCTGCACGAATGAGTGAGATCGTCTCCTTCAGCTCCTCATTTCTTAGCCTTGCCCGCAGACGTGTTAGGAGTGGAAACCGACCTTTTAGGACTCCAATGAAGTGATCCACTCGGATACAAATTCTTGCGAGGCGCGAGTTGAAGAAAACATTTTTTATCGAGAGCTGTCCGCCACCACTTGTCTTGAATGCCGAGACCAAATCGGAAGAGGGCTGCTACGCTGAATCACCTAGCAGATACTCGTTGGCGTCAAAGTACTCATCACGTTGAACGGCCACCCTAGAATTTCTCCAGACACGGTTATCATGGCTAGAGCCGGCCCAGTCAATATTTTCGTATCGAATCCCAGATCATCGCAAATAATCAATCCATTGATAGTGTAGCAACCCTTGCGCGAAAACAAAATCTTCTTCATGATCCTCAGGCCGTTGAAAAAGCGGGAAGAGAGTACCGTTAATTAGACCAATACAATAAGGAAGCCCTGACACCTTCTCAATCCGCTCTGAAATTTCATGGTCGGTAAGTACAACAAAAAAACTCTTAAACAGATCCAATTTATCGATACTAAATACCTAGAATGGTTGAGTAAAAATGAGTTCGTTCAGACTAAGATGCCAAAGCTTAAGGCTGAGGTTGATGACTTTTTGAAGTAAAAAAATGGGTCGAATAACTCATCATAGTTTTTTTCCTAAATCTTGGATAGAGATGGCATGAGCTTACTGTGGTGACTCTTGATGTCATTTTCAAGTCCCTTCGCAACATAAGCGCTGCGTCGGAGTAGTTCAGCTCGAGCATCTTCGATGCATTGACGCTTCAGCTCCGCTTTGGCGTACGCTCGGTTGCCGCAACGGCAACGCTTAGTATTGGTCTAGTTGAAAACGTAACGAATCGGTTGAGGAGCTGTCGTTTCTTCTCCCACGCGTCAGCACAGATGTCCTTAGTACTGTTAATGAATTCTCATTGACTTCTTCCTTGGAAGGGCCTACTCGTCCATACGGGCGGGAGCACGGAATTGCATGTCGAACGAATGAGTTCATCAGATTGCGATGAAAATCACATCCGCATTCGCAAATGTAATTGCAGTAGTGCTCCTTAACAAAGATCTTGTATTGGGGGAGAATCCGTTGGCTGAAGGATTCGAAAAAGACTGCATCAGTACGCTCATCATTATCGAAAGTCTGAGCGAATACATCTTCAGTCTCAAACTTAAACTCTTCCTCGAACTGGAACTCCTTGATCTCTTTCAAGAGCTGCTTCCTGATGAAGAATCCCTTATCGGGTTCCTGAGCGGGATAGCAGTACTGCGTGAACTTGCAGTCAATCTTAAAAATAAACTGTTCGATGTTGGCGTACATGATTCGTCGGTTGTTGATGCTTGCTAGGAAGCTGGCTTGGTTTAGATACTTAGTATTTATCTCATTAAATAAAAAACGTTTCCTTATAAATTTTTGCTCTTTCTCATGAGAGCTTTCTAGAAGGTTCACGCTACTCTGATATTGTTCAAATCTGTAAACTTAGCTCTAAAATTCAGCCCTAACAATATCAGACTACTGACAGGTCCTCTGTCTCTCCCACGGCGATTTGGTGACTTGAAGTGTGTAATGGTAGAGACAGAACCTCTGTATGTTCTATGTACATCGGGTCAATAAATGTCCTACTACTAGTAGTGTCCTCTTTGGGGCGAAGCCCCCCTATAATGAAATCGCTCTGTTTTATCGCTCTGATATGCTTTCTTTCGATGAATTTATGGATTGGGCTAGGGAAAGGTTTAATGGTTGCCTCTCCCGGGGGCAAAAATGCAGCAATTTCCTCTGTATGAGATCCTTTCAGGCTCAATGTCCGACGGTTTCGAGTGACGATTCATAGAAGTTCAGGGACTTAGCCTCCAGCAAAGGGTGCGAAAGCCATTAAACTGAGGCCCGTCTTTTAGGAGGAGGCCTCTTCCAAATAGGGTATATATGCGCTGTGAGCCTTCTAAAGTGGATTTGGCTTAAAACCGCATTATTTTAGCTAAATGGGTACTCTGCTTTGCTGAACTATTGACCCTGCTTTAGCGTCGTATAGCACGGATATCGGGGTAAGTGCGCTTGTTGAAGGTCTACTTAGAGCTCTGCTGCTTAGCTATTGCTATTGCATGCCGCAGGTTGCTTGCCGTCACCTCACGCATTCGACGCGCCTCTTCCAGGACCGCCCTTGGATGCGGCCAGGTCGGTTGGTACACTGGGAGCAGGACACACGAGCACAGAGTAAGAGGCACCGGCGACGGCGTGGATTTGGGCGGGCGCCTGACACACGCTTAGGACGAGCGCGCTCACGAACGCTCTGCGTAGACCCCCCTCATGCGCGGCAGCCGCAGCGCCTCTGGCTACCGCGGCTCCACCTTCGGCTCAGACGCCGTGCTGTTGCAGCAAGACGCGGGCACGTGACGTGCTGCAGGAGCTACAGGCGCCAATCCGTTCGCCACCATTACCCATGGCGGTAGCAAGGAAGCTGAGCAGAGCTCAACCGGCGGCGTGCGCCCGCTACGAGCATGTGCATGACCCATGCGCGCTGGCAGACAAGCATGATGACGAGATCATGATGGCATGGACAAGGACTACGCCGGTCACGGGTCACCACGGTAGACCACCCGCACAAGCACTTCCCCACCATGTATTATATACCTGGACTTCAGTGCCCAATAGGCTGAAGTACAACAGACGCTTCGACACGCAGCCGTTCGCCACCGTCTTCGTGCTCAAAGACCCCAATGTGAGATCGGGAAATGACTGCGGCCGGGCGAGTTCCGGCCGAGGTCTAACTGCCTTGAGCTTGCGAGAGATGGCTGACCGAGGGCTCTGATTGGTCGGCCACATTCCCCGCGCTTTAGTGCCCAGAAGATTGATAGAGACTACGGAGTGACAGGAGGGTCTCGGCGGGTCAAAATAAACCGCCTGCCGAGGCCTCCGAAGTTTCACAGTGGGTACACTTTATGCCCAGTAAGAGTTCGGATTTAGGACGAAGTTTCGTCCGATTGTAGGATCAGCTCGAAAGCTCGGTCCACACTTGATATTTGTATAGACCTTAGGGATTAGCTATAAGAGAGGCCTGACAGCCTCTAATCATTAAACAGAGCAGAATTTTCTCCCCAAGCCACACAAGGGTCAAGTCCGTCTACGGTAAGTCGCTAAGCTTAGCGTAGGGTCTGGATACACTCGGCTGCACGGGGTATGTCTGCCGGTGAGCATAAGGTGCATTGACCGAGTGTTCATCCTGGTAAGGCCAAGAGTGAGTAGGTGGCCGCGTGTTGGGAGGTATTAGATACCTCTGTGCACAGTTGTACGTTTGACTGGGTGTGAGGCAAGGACCCCCCCCCCAGTGTATTTGACTTCTAGCCGAGGCTTCGCCCCGGCGCCCCTGTAAGAGGCTTCGATTGGCCTGGTACCCTTCCTTTCTGAGGGACCACAGAGGTTTAGTGCGAAAGCACGTATCACACATTGCATCCTAGTCGTAGCTCGTGGCTAAGGGTGCTCTTATATTTTAACGAAGGGTAAACCTATCTGACCCGCAACACACAGGGAGGTACATTCCAGCCCGTATAAGGGATCGGACCTGGTCTTCAGGTTTATTATCCCGACAATCTATCGCCGACTCTTCGGAGACGGCGTGTGTTGTTGGTAGGGCTCGTCCTAGAGACTTCGGTTGATAGGGCGAGGACTCGTAAACTCGTGTTTTCCTACACGACACCAAATACTAGGACGCTGTGCTGCCGATCGGCATGCTCGTCCTAGGGGGTGCTGTTCCTGTACACGATAAAGAATGACAACAACGGTGAGCGTGAGAACATCCCGTTGTACTCGGAGTGATTAGGCTTCCGTTGTACTCGGCATGTTCACTTGCCTTTGCTACGCTACGGATCGTACCTCGTCATTGACCCACAAAGAAAATCGTACTACTCCTCAGTCTTGGAGTGTCGATGCAAGTAACAGCGGTAGGCATACGTATTGTATTGTGGTTGGGCGTAAAATGCATTGCTAAATAATTAATGCTACACAACACGGTATTCACGGGTCGAAGAGCTGTGCTTGGCCGGCAGACATTTTTTGTAACTTACCGAAACCGGGTACCTTTCTAACCGAAATAGAGTACTGGTTAATCTAACCAATTACATTTAAAGCTACGAATGGCTACATGTATTACTCTTTAGCTCAGGGGTTGTTTGCTAAGTTTAGCACGACAAGTCTAAGATAAGACTAAAAATTACGAGTTATTACTACAGCGGGCGGAGAAACCCTGAGCTACCTGTGCGGGTCAGTATACAAAGACCAAGTCAAAAAGATGTGCAAGTGAAATGACAACAGCGCTTCAACTCACAAAAAACCATTTCTTCTTGGTTTCGCATGAATCATTCACCATTCGACGCGGAATCGTTTGAACTATAATCTGCTCGAATTCTATTGGCTATTAAATACTGGATTTTGACGAATCGCCGCTCGAATGAAACCGGTCCAATCTGAGTTTATCTTGGTTTTTGTGTTGGGTCACCAGATTGTGAACCTACAACGCCTGGCAAAACGTGATGAATGCCCTCAGACATTGCACGATATCATATCCGTTTTTTGGTTTCTCGGGATCCTGGTTTGCTTATATGGATGACAACATGAGTACCTTTCGCCTCATGTGTGCATTGTATCGCTAGTGTTGCTGGATGCAACTGGGTAGGTCGAAACAGTGGGTCATCGGGCTTGCAAATCGTTTTGACTTACTATATGCATGTGGCGGGCTGGGGTGGGCTATGACTTTTTCCACCCGCTGTACTTTTGTGAAAGGTTGTTAAGGATTTCACAAATAAACTACGCTATGCATCCGCTGAAGCATACTATATAACCGGGCAACGCTTGTCAATATCTCGTGCTATCATGTCTGCTAGCTCGAGCTACGTAAGCTGTACACCTCAAATGTTGAAAGGTTAGAGCATCTCCAACGGTAGTGCAAATCGCAAAAGTGATAAGGCAGTGTGAATGGCCGATTAGCAACATAAACAAGACGAACACGCTTGAATTGTTTTGCAATAGTTCAGCTTCCCCAACGGTATTGCAAAATTGCGTAGTGAAAGCGGGTAGTCCTCCCTCCGCAATGGCCGATAAAGGGTAGCGTAGCTTAAGTTATCCGCGGCAAAGGCACCACAATAGGCAGCAATAGGCAACTATAGAGCACTTCAGGTCGATAACGGCCCGCCGTTGTTTGCAGCATGCATTTGGGACAACAAGTCATTTGCCCTACATTCTGTAGCAACTGCCGGTAAGCCCGGGAGCTTCTATTCATCCGGTGTACCTATGAAACTGGTAGTATATGTATTGTGAGAGCGTTGTGTACCTCTTTCGGACGGGTGCACGCGCTGAAGGCGTCCATAAATTCGTATTCTCGCCTTGCACTTTGCGTGCAATAGCTGGCAGGTCGTAGTGAATAGCAGGCCGATAATCATAACGCCATCCGGGAATTGCACTATCGATTTCAACGTGTTACTTCAGCACTACTTCTGAACCCCAATCACTTCCCCGTTGGGGATGACTTTTTTGCAATTTTGCAAATATCGTGCAATTTCTTGAGTTTTGCACTACCGTAGGAGATGCTCTTAGTCGGAGCGTTCGCTCCGGGTCGCCTAATGTGCTAATGCTAAATAATTTTGTAAATTTAGTGACCAACTCTTGTTTTGGGTGTCTTCGTTTTGTTGACGATGTTGTGCGGAATCGTGTCCGCGCCGACCGATGCTAAAGCTGATCGACTCGATTGAGCTATACCTGGGGATCTGCAAACTGGCTACGTGGAGTTCTAAAAACATGTACTCGTTTACAAAAAATATTGCTGTCTGCATAGTATAGATCTAGCTATGTGAGTCCCAACACAGGCATACTTGCCGTTAGCGTATGCTGTAAACAATATTTTACAATCGAGAAATATCTTGGGAGGCTTTTGAGAGAGAGAATAAAAATACGTCCCGAAGATTTAAGCACGCGCCATTATAGCGGAAACGATATGTCGCTACTGATGATATTAAGGTGGTGTGGTCCATGTTTCTAGAATTACCGTCGAGGACACATGAATTTGCATACCGCGCCCTACATAAATGTATCATGCGACCGAAATGATTAAATCGTCCTAGAATCCATCCGAAGCAACGGAAACAAAAAGTGTTGCTGCAATCTATCACAGAGCATTTCTGCACGCTGCAAAATAAAAGCACAGTGATAAATAAGTGTCTTCATGCTGTTGAAATGCCTACAGTCTGCGTGGCCGTACATCCGTACTGGACTGCTAAACTAAGAAGGACATATCAGTAGACAACCAGCTTACGAAGGTGCTCATTAGTTTCTCTAATACTAAAAACAATGTATTTGTACGAAAGTCTCATATGCGGCACTAGTGAAAACCCATCCAAAGCTTTTTACTGAAACTTGTTCGCATGAGCAGACTTCTACTTATGCGGGAAAAATCATCTTTCCCTCTTTTTCAGCAAATATGATCTTTTTTTGAAGAGCAAAATATGGAAAACCTGGGATTCACTATTTACTATTTAGTAGTAAGTTATTGCTTGAAGTATATGAAGCTAAAGCGAAGCCAGACTGCTACTGCACGCCGTATGGATCGAATTGTTAACGACTAAATAGGTTTACGAATCATAATCTCAAGTTGCACAGCGCTATCTAAGATCCCATTTGTGAGAAATCGGACCCAGTAATTGGATCATTAGTCAAAATTACGAAAACTATACATGTAGCAACCACGCAACATCGCTAATGAAGGTAATACTAGCGATGCTTAACCAGAGGTTAGGATAATCGACCAAATTATGGTATTAGTATTACTGGCCCTACTGGAGGTCTGGTATAAATATCGGTTATACAATACTTTCGTATAGAAAACAAGTATCGGTATTAATAAAGATTGTATTAATATTTTGCGTAATACTTTATGCTAGTACAAATTTATGTGGCCCACATTAGCTCGGCTTCACCAGACTGAGCCCAAAGAACAGTTCAACGCTGAAGCGTTCCTATCACCTTGACGATCCGAATGGCATTGAAGACCTTCTTCATAGTATTCATACGACGGTCCTTATGTTGCAGAGGCAGCCAAGACAAGCGTAGCGCGACCTGAAGATGTGGCTATGTAGTGGTAGTCCCGCGGCATTGGTCTTAATTAACACAGGCAGGGAAACATTTTTGTGGGTAGTTGGGAAGTATATCGGTAGCTTGGTTTAGTGATCGAACCCAAACTTCCCCTTTGCATTGAGATAGAAGTTTCTGTTAAGGTCGTGGTAGACGTTGGCACGGGCCCTCGCGCGGGTCCCGCGGTCCGACGGGTATCGAATAGCACCACGGAGGACGTATAGAGAGTGGAAGTGCGCGAGCATGCACTGAAATAGCGCCTGCGTGGGTTCGGAGGGGCTTCTGGAAGTATAACCGAAAAATATTAATGGTATTACAAATTCCGATGAGTAGTATTACTTCAATTATCCTTATACATTCGCGTAAAAAACGAGTATAAGTATTAATACAATCTGTATTACTGAGTAATACAATACTTTGAGTTACCCTAACCTCTGTGCTTAACGAATACTCTGTAATGCATTAGTTCTATTAGACTTTGAGTTATGGAGCGACAAGGAGGCTGACGGCAATCATTCTTGCTGCGTTCACAATTATTGCAGTTTGTGTCTATTGTATTCTTGACTTACGATTATCCACAGCGTTATTTCACGTTAAACACCGATTGCCGCGAACAAACCGGAATCGTGGTGTCCGGAAACTTATAAAATTATCATCTGGTACGGATTTACTAGAAAAATGAGAAGTTCCCAGCTAAAAGTGCTGATAAGTTCCCGGCAAAAATGCTGATACATGTATTTTTGATGTATACTGCGTTGTTAGTGGTGGGGCCGACTTGAGATGAATAATATCAATACGTGTTGAGGAATCATTATGTCCGAGAGAGAGAGAGAGAGAGAGAGAGAGAGAGAGAGAGAGAGAGAGAGAGAGAGAGAGAGAGAGAGAGAGAGAGAGAGAGAGAGAGAGAGAGAGAGAGAGAGAGAGAGAGAGAGAGAGAGCTGCAAACTCGAAAAGGAAGTCACGGAAAGGTCATATTGATGTCAAACCTGACTCAAACATGATGGTAGAAAATGCTCTACCGAGCTCTTTTATGAACGTAAACGAGAGGTATAATTTCCAGCAGAGAGATAAAGTATGCTGCCTACGTTCTCACCACTTTCAGTGGTACTTTGTATGTCATTCCTATGAGGCAAATTTTAAATGAGGGGCATGTGGTTAGTGCTGGCCGTGAAGGGCGTCTCATGAAATAGTTTTCGAAGGGGTATCTCGTTAGGTTTCCCTAAGACATTAATAAAAAAAGCACTGATCCAACCTCTTGCAAGTATAGAGCCTCAATCTTAAACAAAAAGCGGCACAAAACTAAAAGGCGCAATACACGTCAACTCGGGGATACCTACTGGCCACGAAAGGATTGCTAATGCAAGTGTTGCTAAAGCGCTGAGAAAAAACATTATTCCTGTTGTTCTGTTGCTACCCAATTGCCTACCGTTATTCGTTTTCAAAAGTACAACTATTTTCAGCGTACTTTTGTGCGGAGGTAAGATTAACCGAGAGTTCAGGGCTCGGCAACGGTGTAGTCGTGCACTAAACGAAAATGTCAGGTTATCAAAATCGATCAGCAGAAGATTAGACAGCGGAGGACCGCAAAACCGACCAAGCAATTGATGCAGCTTGCTATACAAAGCAGCTACGTCAAAGTACACAACAGTTACAGATAACGCAAATCGAACAGACTATCAACACTGGCGGATAGCTCC